TGCCAAACGTTGCCGACCCCTGAACTAGGCAATGGTTTATTAGACTACTGATCTGAATAAGCATGATCTTGCCTTATTTTAAAAGTTAGGTAATTTAGATTCTGTTAAGTATTTGTATGTGTGCACTCTAGCATTGTTACTTTAGTGTGGTCCTTAAACAATTGCCTTGTTTGTAGGGTTAAACTGATAAAAACAAAACAATCATGTTAGCTGTTTGATTATTTCAGACTGCTTGCAAATAAGGCCATGTTTACAAAAGGGATTTTTTTGTGGGGGAGGGAGACACCAACACTGCAACCAGTTCAGCTACACCAGTGTTAGCATTTGTGGGAGTTGGAGTGCAGAGAAGATTCCAATAGCTGCTGGCTTTTATAACCACAAAATAGGGTTGTAAATAGGCTGAAAGTCACCAGAGTCTTGTCTGAAACACTTGACCTAATGGTGGCATCAGTGGTAAATTTTTTCACTAAAATTACCAGAGCCTGTATACTGTAAACACTTATGCAGGTGCTTAACTTTAAGCACAAGAGTAGTCCTATAGACTTTAATTAAATTAAACATGCATGTAAATATTTGCAGGATCAGACCCCTAGTGTAGACAAAACAGAAAACCCTGCAAGCAGCCATTGAATTATTCCTCCATCTCCACAACAACAAAAGAACCTCTGAGCTCTTGCAACTATTGCCAGAGGATCTCCAATCTTAGCTGTGTATGTAAGTACTGTTTAAAAACTGCAGCAGATGCTGAATGAAACTTGATGTAACATGCACTGAAGACTCAATAGATGACACCTGCCAGCTTGTTCAAGCTAAAAATGTTTTAAATGGTGTAGTTCTTCAGGGAAATGATAAACTATTACCTAAAACTTCCACATTTTAATTCCAAAACTAAGATTTTTAAACAATTTCCATCCCTTCTAAGTCACCAGAATTTAACAAAAATGTAAACATGGCTGTTGCCAACTATGTCCGCATATCTATTCAAGGGACATCATCATAGGACCTAACCACATCAGCCACACCATCGGGGGCTCGTTCACCTGCACATCTACCAATGTGATATATGCCATCATGTGCCAGTAATGCCCCTCTGCCATGTACATTGACCAAACCAGACAGTCTCTATGCAAAAGAATAAATGGACACAAATCAGACATCAAGAATTGTAACATTCAAAAACCAGTAGAACACTTCAATCTCCCTAGACACTCAATAACAGACTTAAAAGTGGCAATTCTTCAACAAAAAACTTCAAAAACAGACTCCAACGAGAAACCGCAGAACTAGAATTAATTTGCAAACTGAACGCCATCAAATTAGGCCTGAATAAAGACTGGGAGTGGATGGGTCACTACAAAAAGTAATTTCCCCTCTGCTGATACTCACACCTTCTTGTCAACTGTTGAGAATAGGCCACTTCCACCTTAATTGTATTGGCTCGTTAACACTGCCCCCCCCCCTTGGTAAGGCAACTCCCATCTTTTCATGTGCTATAATATATATTCTGCTTACTGTTTTTTTCACTCTATGCATCTGATGAAGTGGGTTTTAGCCCACAAAAGCTTATGCCCAAATAAATTTGTTAGTCTCTAAGGTGCCACAAGGACCCCTCCTTGTTTTTGTTTGCTTATAGTTACTCAGCTGTATAAGTATTTGTGGGATATAGGCCTTTTATTATATGGGCTGTGTATATAACAACGTAGAATCTGTGAATGATACTTCAGAATTGTGTAGATTGTAGAATGATCCCAAAAATCTTGTACATTTGATGGCTATCTGCTCCAAAGGGGAAGGAGAATATACAGAAGGTTCTGGAATTTCATACCTTTCTTTGCTTTGCGGATGTACAAAGTTTCTGATACTTGGAGTCAGATGCACTCATAGCCAGGTCCCCGCCCATGCAATATGTGTGGTCACAAAGCACCTCTCTTAATAACTCTTATTGGCTTCTTTGCTGCTCATCTGGCACTCTCTAAACAATTCTGGCATGTACTCAGAAAAGTTGCCAGACTGGGTTGGTCTGCACTCATCTGAAGCTAATTGTAAGGCGGTGTTAAAGTCTTTCCCTCTGACGCTACAGGATTTTGCTGTGTTTCAACAAGTTTAAAATCTCATTCAGGACATTTGGAGATATCACTACTACCCCCATGATTTCATGCTCGAATCCTTACGTTGATGCCATCATCCTGTCATTGTTGATCTGTGAATTGGTAAGTGAGATTGTTACCTATTAATTTGTTATTGTTCCATAATATAAATCATGTATGGAATTCTAGAGATCCTTGGCTTCAAATTGTACAGCCAGTACTGACCAGCCCCAGAACTGACTGAATGGGAGTGCATAAAGTAGGCGGTGTCACGGACTTGGTGCTTAGTGAATGGAGCAGGGGTTGGGCATAGAATCAATATTCATTGCAAAGGATGAGGCACACAGCCCAGGTCTGAGGGTGGATGGAGATCTCATTGAGGAGACAGTACGGAGTACAGACTCATCGCAAGGAGTGGGGCGTGTAGTCCTGGTTCTCACTGAAGTATTGGGAAAGGTAAATACTCAATGCTCAGTGTGGGGTGGGAGAGACAGCCCCAGGTATCACCTTCATAGAGGGGATGTGGGGACCCAACACCAGTTGTTACTGAGGGGATGGGAGAGCATATAGTCAGTGTAAGAGAGGGGAGCACAACCTTAGCTCTCACTGAAGGGACTGATGGAGGCACAGACTTGATGCTTAGTTGAAGAGAGGGGGGAGGAGGTCATGGGTTCCATGCTGTAGTGGGGTGAAACAGCCCCAGGTCTCAGTTCTAGTTTCAAGGAGGGGATGGGGCCAGAGCCCAAGCTGTAACTGATGGGAGAGGGCGGTGTGTGTGTAAGTTTGGGGGGGAACAGTTTCCATGGGTGGGTAGTCCCCACTGTTACTTTGAGGTTGGGGGGAATGGCCTCAGTGGGAGGGGGGAATCAGATCTTGCTATCACAGGGGTGGGGTGCCCAGGCTTGGTGGGTGTGTGTGTGGGGGGGATGGTCCCTGCTGTCAGGAGGGCATGGGCTCTGTGGGGGAGGTTGGTCCTGCTGTCACAGAGATTAAGGGGGCCTAGGCTCATGGGGGGCAGTTGCCTCTGTCACTGGTGGGTGTGGAGGGCATGGGCTCGGTGGGGGTCTCAGTCCCCACTGCCACAAGGGTGGGCAGGAATGAGGTTGGTTGGGGGGGAGGTTCAATTCCACAGTCATGGAGAGCATGGGCTCAATGTGCGGGGGTGGGTTACTCCCCACTGTCACGGGTGGGGGGCTAGGCTCGGTGGGCAGGTCAGTCTCCACTGTCACGCATGGGGCGCGGGCTCTGAGGGGGGATTAGTCTCTGCTGTCACAGGTGTGGGGACGGGGGAGACGTACTTGGTGAGACTCTGGGAGGGGTCAGAACCCGCTGTCACAGGCATGGGGGGCCCGGAGTCAGTGGGGAAGGGCCAGTCCCCGCTGTCACGGGCTCGGTGGGGGGCGGGGGCTCAGTGCCCGCGGTCACGGTGCTGCGCCTCTGGCGGAGGGTGTTTCCCTGAGCGGAGGCAGATGGGCAGGAAGCGCAGGAATTGCAGTCGACGGAGCATGCGCGGCTGGGTGGCGGCCGGAGCCCTGAGGCTGCGCGGAGCCGGGGTCGCTCTGGCGCTGCCGGTGCCCGACCGCGCGGGGGCCGAGCATGAGGCTCGCCCAGCGGCCGGGGCAGGACAGCGAGCCCGCCCTGCGTGGCAGAGGGTGAGGTTGCGGGCCCCCCCTCCCCGGCGCCGCTACAGCCGGGCCGCCACCTTGTGGGGGAAGGGCCCGCAGACCCGCCCCCCCAACACCTCACATGGGGGGAAGGGCCCGCAGACCCGCCCCCCCAACCGCTCACGGGAGGGAAGGGCCCGCAGATCCGACCCACCCCTCACGGGGGGGGGGAAGGGCCCGCAGACCCGACCGCCCCAACCCCTCACGTGTGGGGAAAGGCCCGCAGACCCGACCCTCCATCGTGCGGGGAAGGGCTCGCAGATCCGACACGCTCCCATGGGCGGGGGATCACAAACTTGCTCTGCCTTTTCTGACTCTCCCTCTTTTCTTACGGGTGGTGACATGGACTTGGTGCCTCTTGCCTGTGCGCGCTGGGAGAGGCTCCCTCTTGCTGGGTTAGTTTCAAGATGCTCCCCTGTTGTGGGGCGGGGCGTTGCCATGTGGGGGTGTAGTTGTCTTTAACTTAGCAATGATCTGAGGAATGGTTCCTAGTGCTAGGGCCCAAGCCACAGCCTCTGCATTAAACTTTGTTTTTAACAAAAATGCCTCTTTAATTGAAATTGTTTGTCTGATCCTTTTTGCTCTTTCCTTCCCATAGGTAATTGTCCTCTGAATTCCCATGTCATACCAGCAGGAGGACTACAAAGAATCTATCAAAATGATGACAAATATTGTCATTTTGAGCCTGCTTATTTGTATTTCCTTATCTTTCTGGATTGTGTCCATGACAGCAAGTACATACTATGGTAAGTCCGTGGCCAGCCTACATGGCTGAGCAAAGCTAAGCCTTATGCTCAACTTGATGGCCTGTCTCTGTTAGTAAATGATAACTTTGGAACACTGCCTCCAGTCAACTCCAGACTTTTAGAGAATGTTCTAGTCATCAATGGGACCCTATGGATTTTGATGAAAATTGAAAAATCAGTGGAGGACACACAGAGGCCCCTGGCATGTGGTTAGAGACCTGTCAGCTTCAGTGAGATCTGTAATGGTCTATAGATCAAAGAACCAGTTGATGGTAGCCATTAATATCTTCCAGCATAGTACCTCCCATCTGAGCTCTGCCCATTGATTCAATAGAGTTTAAAATGTGGTTGCCCTGAATGACTTATCTCCCAGACAGAAAAAAATAAATAATTGTGTAGGGAGAACATAAGGGGAGGGGCCCAGAGACAGGTGGTAGATAGGGGGGCACTAAGACAAGTGGTACAGGGAGAAAATGGGGGACCCTAGTAAGGGAGGAAAGGGGGCACACAGAGCCCCGGCGTGAAGGAGGGGTTTCTGCATGGAGTTCCTAAAATGGAGGGAGGTGGGAGGGTGGCCCTGGGAGCTTGTGGGGGGGGAATTGAGGAATTCAAGCAGTGTGTGTAATGAGCTCCGCCTCCAGAAGCAAGATGTGCCAATCCTTTAATAGATCATATTAGATCATATTTTGTTAATTTGTTAAGTTAAGATTTCTTCAATCAACATTATTACTTGTAGACAAAATACCTGTCAGGATCCTTGTAGTAGGAGAGTATTAAAGAATACTTTACATAAATGTTCTATTATCCTTTTAGTGATTATGTCTGGTGACTGTACACCTTCCATCTGCTACCTTAACTCAGAATCACAACATGCAGATTCTTTCAACATCTGCATCGCTAACTATATACTTAATTACAAAGACTTTCAACACTGTTGAAATAATTCATAAGTATTTCTTTTGGTTGTGAGTTAAGGTGGCTGCAATGTGTAAAGTAAATTGCCACATGTTTATATTGTCCTTAACCACATGTATGAATTCTGTGAATAATAGTATATTTAGTAAATTTAACTGAACAGTTTTTATGTGGGAATTTTTTTATTTTCTCAAAAGAAATATAAGAAGCCTTGTAAATTTAAAACCAGTTGGCATGCACAGTAGCCATACAAGTCTGTATAGAAAATTTTGTGTTGGCTGATGCTGGAAAGTACTAGGCTTTTTCTTACACATCTTAGGTATGCCCAAGTGGAGGCGCATAGCAACAAGGCTCCCTTCCTGTCATCTCCTAAAGCACTTGCTTTGCACTCTGGTACAGAGAAGAAGGGATACTTCTGTTTTATGAATCTTTTTGCATACCATAAGACATGCATCATTTGTTGGGATTCCCTCTGAGACCTTTTCCAATTGGCTTATTCATAAGCTCCTTCGTTTTCAGTTTAAACCAAATTTTACCGAAAAAATCTCAGGTTTTACAAAAAGTATTATTCAGTTATTTCCGATTTTCACCCTACTTTTGTTTCATTCAAATAAAAATAACTTGTTTTATTAGGAAAATACAATACATTGCATGGGATATATGTATTATGATAATACGTTAGTCTGTGTGTATATGCAAAGCTGCCAGTTGAAGTAAGGCTATGTATTAGTCTAGAACAGGGGTTCCCAAACTTGGTTCGCGGCTTGTTCAGGGTAAGCCCCGGCGGGCCGCAAGACACTTTGTTTACCTGAGCGTCTGCAGGTACAGCCGTCGCAGCTCCCAGTGGCCGTGGTTCGCCGTTCCCAGACAATGGGAGCTGCGGGAAGCTGGCCTGCGCAGCTCAGGTAAACAAAGCATCTCGCGGGCCCGCCAGGGGCTTACCCTGGACAAGCCGTGAACCAAGTTTGGGAACCCCTGGTCTAGAACAATGGTTCTCAAACTTTTTTTTCCAGGGACCACGAGCTGAGTGCCTCGGTGCACCACTTAAAGATCTTTCCAAATGTTGTTTGTGCCATTAGCTAACTATTGTAAAGCGCTTTGGATAAAAGCACTATATAAAAAAAAAAATCTTAATAATAATTAATATTTTTTTGTTCTGCAAATAAAAGTGCACATTCATATTTTAATATCAGTAGTCTTACCTTTCTAATGCAATGGATGTGCCCTCTCTCCCCGGCTGTGGCAGCCCCCAAGCTGGGGCTGGGAAGGAGGAGGGTCTCTCCCTCTCTCCCCCACTCTGGCAGCCCCAGAGCTGGGGCTGGGAAGGAGGGGGGTCTCTCCCCCGCCACAGAGTTGAGGCTGAGAAGGAGGGCAGTCGCCGCTTTCTCTGGCTGCCACAGCCATGCATGTCCCAAATTCCACCCACCCCCTCTTCTCACCCTACTGCCCCTCCCACCAACCCCTTATTCCCCCCAAGGCCACCACCTCACCTTACATGTGTGTCTTCTCCAGGTCCAGGCACCTAATTAGTGGAGCTATGCCTGCGTGGCTCCACTAATTAAGTGGGTGGCCCTTCATTCTCTTGTGTATGGCCGCCCAGGCTCGCACCTTAGAGGGAACTATCGGTGGACCACCTGAATGGAGCTTGCGGACGACCACAGTTTGAGAACCTCTGGTTTAGAAGATACAAACAGTAGGCATGCACATAAGCTCTGAAGTGCGTGCGCATCTGAACGTACTGATGAATCTCACACCCACCACAGATATATTTAAAGCTGTTAGCAGATAACGGTTTAAAGATCTCCCTCTAAAATGGGAAGAAAATGAAAATCTGTATCAGAATACATTTCAGAACACAAGGAAGTATTCAAAAGTTGGAAAAAAAACAAAAACAGGAGAAAAGGATGAAGTTAAGTGTGTCGCTGCAAATGGCGTGGCCCAGTTATTAAATATAAATATTTATAGGCTAATAGTTCTAAGTCTAAACAGTAAACTTTATTCAAATAAAAAGTTTTATTTTGGGTTTAGAGATGTATTGTTTTGTTAAACTCAGTATGTTTTGAGTTCTGTTTTAGTTCTGCAGCAAATCACATTGAATTCCATTCATCAAAGCATTAATCTACTGAATACTTTCCCCCCCTGTCCTTCCGTCCATCAAAATAAACCCCAATATTTACCCAGAAAAATTAATAGATTTTTCCACCAATTTTCACCTGTTTTTGTTGTTATAGTAATACAGGGCATTTAAGCTAATTTTTCAAAATATTCAAATCATTGCCCATGGCAGATTCATTTCATGGATTCCCAGGCAAAATTAAATACAATAAAAGCCAAAAATGAAAGGCCCTACTTATCCAGAACAATTTGTCCAGTTGTGGGAGAACACCTCGTTCAGTTCTCTGGAATCCAAAAACGTCTTTTGACTCCATATTTCATCATTCAAGTTCCTTTACTTGGCATACAGCAAACCTATGTAGAGTTGATCAGACTCAAGGGTAGGGGGCGTGGGTATAGGGCATACCACACATCCAAAGTTACACAAAAACCTCTTCATTTATATATATTTACACGTTACATTGACTATACATTGCATCATAAATTTTTGGATTGGCTTGGTTATTTTGCAAGAACCAGTCCTTCTGCAGCCTGCTCTGACCATGCATTGTGCACTCTTATCCTCCTCTTTTTACAGTCCTAACTTATCTTGTCCATTGTTAGTAAATGGTTCAGTGGCTGTTCTCCCTCTTTTTGTAGCTGGCCCAGACATTGTCTTTTTAGCCTACTGACCTGTTTACTTCAGCGTAATCATCTGTTTACTTCCCTAATTTTATCCTCCAAGAAGTGAGGCCTCCCTCCATATGTTAATTACTCATGTCATGCAGTGGCGTAGCCAGGTTCTAAGTGCAGGGGGAGAAAACATAAAAAAGGCACCCTCCGTAGGCTCCTCCTCTGGCCACCCCCCCTTGGCGCCTCCTCTAGCCACTCCGCACCCCCCTCCCTTGGCTGGCTCCTTCGGCCGCGCCAGGCCCCCCCCCCGGCTCCTCCGGCCACACTGTGCTGCGGCCATGCTGTGCCCGCGCCCTCGGAGGGGCTCGGTCCGGGGAGAGCCGAGGAAGTTTTCAGGGTGCAGTCGGGGGCGGGGGGGGAGAAGAGGCGAGAAAGTTTCACGTGCCCCCGGGCGGGACTCACCAGCTGCCGAGTGACCTCGGAGAAAGCCATGACACCGCGCCAGGCGGCTGCTGCGGGAGGGGGAGGGGAGAGGCGCACGGGAAGCTCCAGGCGGTTGGAATGTAACCGGCAGCTAGAGGGTCTGCGCAGGGGTGCGGGGCCAAGCAAACGGGCGGGGAGGGGCGTGATGCAGGGGGATGGGGTCACGGTGGCGGCCCGAAGGGCGGGGCCGCGCTGTAACTGCTTTGCACCCCTGCCCCAGGGCGATCCCCGCACACAGCGGGCTGGAGTCTGGGACGTGACGTGAGCAGGAAGCGGACGGTCGGTCCCTACCCTACCACCCCCCCGCCTGTATAATGGGCCGCGAGCCGCTGCTGGGAGATGCTGCTGCTGCCGCATTAGCAAGGGGCGGGGAGCGCTTGGCCGCCGAGCCTTGAGCCATGCTGAGCGTGGGGTACGGTGGCCGAGGAGCGGCCCCCTCGCTCCTCTGGCCGTGCCCGTCCCCCCCCCCCGCCCCCAATGGCTCCTCTGGCCGTGCTGCCCCCCATTGCCTGCAGGAGCCCAGCAGCGGCCCGGCAGGCCAAGCTTCAGAGCGGAGCGTGGGCCCCGCCCACTGGCACCATGGTAACCCCTAACTAAGGCGCTGCTTTTGGAAAATGTGCTAAGGGGCAGCAGCTGCTTCCCCTGCACCTCCCCTAGCTATGCTTCCCCTGCACCTCCCCTAGCTATGCTACTGATGTCATGCCAGGTTTCAGATACATCACTGAAGAATGTGCCTGCTCTGTAATATCCTTGAGCCCTTGGGGATCAGGAACCCCTGCATCTGCAGAGCTTTGAGCTCTGCTGGCCATGCACTGCTTTTTCTCATGTTAAGAGCTGATGTCAAAGGTCATGATTAAGGATACAATTTTGTCACAGATTCCATGACTTTAACGGACCTCTGTGACTTCTTTGGTTTCAGCCACCATGGCCAAAGCAGCGGCCCTGGAGCAGTGGCTTGGGCTGGGACTGACAAAGTCAGGGACAAGTCGCAGACTTCTGTGAATTTTTGTTTATTGCCTGTGACCTGCTAGTGACTTTTACTAAAAATACCTATGTCCATTCAGTAGTTCTTGCAGGACTGAGACCCAAAACTTTAAATGCCAAGTTTTGATGAGTAAAATTTTAAATGTTGCATTTCAAAAATAATTTCAAGCCAAATCTTGATTCTTAACTATGAAATTGCTTCATAGTATCATGCTATACTAGCAACATGATTCCCTATCATACTTCAATTTTTTTGACTGTGTTTAAGATGGAATTTGGACTTCCAATTTAATATCAAAACAAAACAGTAATAAGAGAATATGAAGGTTGCTGGTATATTGCTGCTAATCTAGTAGCCTTATCAGAGGTTGTATCCTGACTGAATATCAGGGTGCTATAGCTAAATACTGTTAATGGATTCAGTTTCAATAAAATGTTTGTAGTCACTGTAGAAAAACATGTTTGGCTGAATGGGTACAAGTTGATCCTTTTTGTAAATTAACTGGTCAACATTCGTCTGCCATGGGCAATGATTTGAATATTTTGAAAAATTAGCTTAAATGCATTGTATTTATGCTTTTCATATTGAGAGACTTTGGTTAGTGATAATACTGTTACCCCACATAGTATTTTTCCTTTGTGATCATCAAGGTAATCTATCAGACAGTTTACACAGTAATTGATCTGATAGGACTAGGAGTAATTTCTTTCCTTCTCTAGTATCCAAGAGTAGAGTTTTGAGCTTTCTTAACATCCTTGTCACAGAGGTCATGGATTCCGTGACTTTAACAGACTTCTTCCGTGACTTCTTCGGCTTCAGCCCCCGTGGCCAGAGCTAATTCTTCTGGAATTAACACTTTGATGCCCAAACAAAGAAACAGCAAAATTAAGCAATGAAATATTCTATATTCGTATTTGTGCTGCGGTGCAAGTATGGCCAAAAGTTTGAGTAGTAATAATGTTGTGTGTTTAATTTGATAGGAGTTTTTGATCTGAAAGGTAAAGTGAAAGGAAGTTCATCATTGCTGATTAAAAACAAACACAAAAAAACCCTCATGTACTATTCAGCCTGAAGTATAAATAAATCTGAGTGTCCACACAAGTGACAGTGCCTTATGAAAAGACTCCTGTCAGATGAAATATTTGCAATGATAATGAGAATGCATTTCTTAACAATAGGGGAAAAGAAGAGCTGGTCATTGGAACTTTTGAATGTGATTTTGCTATAACCTGTAACGTGATTTTGTGTGAACTGAGTACTTCTATATTCTCCACTATGTTAAAAAAAAGTTCATAAATGTAAGACAGTTCAGATGGCATAAAACAAACTTTAGAGATACTGATT